TTTCCAGCAATTGGAAATTGATTTTATAGAGTTATCACGGAGTGAAGGGAAGAAATTTAGAGTAACCCCAGATAAAGATGGGTTATCCCCCTTTGAGAAAGTGTTTGGAAGACCTTACATAATGCCACAGTTGGCAGGACCAGACAGGCAGACATAGAACTGGAGAATACACAAGCAGAACACATGAGAAAATTGTTCGTTAACCGTATGTCTGAGAATTTGTGTCCTACAGGAGAATTAAAGGAGAAGGTGATTCATAGTATATAACCTGGAGACTGGGTGTGGATCAAATCGTTGAGGAAAAAGGATCGAAAGCAGTCACGCTGGGAGGGACCATACCAAATCCTATTGGTAACTGCCTTCGCTATAAGAATAGCTGAGAGAGCCACTTGGGTCCACGTTACCCACTGCAAAAAGGTAGGCCCACATACCAACACCGTTGAACACACACAGAGTTAAAGAGAAGAACTGAACCATTAGGGTTCGGGGGTCAACTCTGTTAACGAAGAAACTCTACCCCGACCTTTCATCACTGTGGGGTATTTATAGAGGTGTGGGTATGGGGAAGTACCAAGCAGGTGGGTCAGGGACAGGATTGGGATGGCGGTTTTGGGGATTTTGGGGGACTCTGAGCTGCATCATCATGTTAACCATATTATGGATTAATCCAGGTCAACCTAAACAGGGAAATGATGCACTGATTCGATCTCGTAGAAATACTGAAACCAAGAAAGACTATTGGGGGAATTATTATTTTAATAGCTAAAGTCAGTTTAGGACAAGATGGGGGATTCAAGATACCATTCAACTTCTCCCATGAAGAGATAGGAGGTTTTGGGGGCTTTGCTAAGAAGGGGGCGTGTACATGAAAGTTAGGTCCTAGAAGGTATGGTAAATACATTTGCACTGGGGAACGCTCATGTCCTTGGGCAAGGGTGTTTAAACATACCTGGGGAACATACTATGAGAATGGAATGGACGCAGTACACCGATGGGGAATTAAACAAACCCATGATAAATGTAAAACGGAACTGGTGATAACGGTAAAGTCAATTATGCAAGATGACATAGCAAGGAACTATTGGGCCTGTGTTGATGATTTCGGGGCAGATATATGTTTGAGGTTCATTTTTCAGGAGAAAAATGAATCTTCCACCTCCGAAACAGATCAGCAGGTAGATCCAATGTTATCACCAGAGGTACCAAAAAAACTAGTCTAATACCCCTTGGAAGGCCCTCAGAAGGAATCCTACATAGCACTAAACCACCAAGGGTAGAATATTTCCTCTTGCCGGAAATGAACCAAGGAGAAGTAGAAGGAAAGGTGGATAAACTACACAGCTAGGGCGTTGGGTCAAACTAATTGTTATGCCTGTTCAACAGGTAGGCCAACCCTTGTAACTGCACTTATGCCTCAGACCATGTTCTCTTGTGTGATAGATTTGGGATCAAACCAAACCTCACCTAATTGTTCTGATATTAAAATAACCACTTTTAAAAAGGATAATACTAAGGCACCCCAATTCACCATGAACCCCAGAGATGATCAATGTTATAGACACCAAAGTAATGCGAATCGCAGATCAAATTGGAGAAGGGTTTACAACAATGTTTTTCTGGTGGGTTACAATTGATAAAAATGTTGACTGGATTAATTACATCTACAAAGGTTCGTTAATTAGACAGGGGATGCAGTGAAGAGAATCTCAGGCCAACTATCCGCCACCTCACTCAAGACCTGCAGAATAGGTTGGTTCTCGAAATGCTTTTAGCAGAGAAGGGCGGATTTGCAAGATGGTGGGAGGTCATTGTTGTATATTTATCCCCAACAATACAGCCCCGGATGGTACAGTAACTAGAGCGCTGGCAGGTCTCACTGCATTAATTAAAGAATGGGCTGAGAACTGGGGGGTGAATACATCAATGACTGGTTGGTTTGATCAAATGTTTGGTAAATGGAAAACTATTGTTGTAACTCTTTTAGGCGCGGCAATCGCGTCTATGGGTATGCTTGTTCTTTGTGGATGTTGTCTTATTCCCTGTGTCCGAGGGTTGGTGAGCAAGGCGTTGGAGAATGCAGTATCACAGCAGATGGTGATATACGGCCCAATCCCGGACTCCGACCTAAGGAATGAAGAATATGATCCACCAGGCTTGGTGGAGGACGACGACGATTCAGATAGTTTGAGACTGGATGTTAACCTAGAACTATAAATCTCTAGTTTAAAAGTTATTGTAATGATATTTTGTGTATTAAAGTATTGTTTTAAGTGTGATGTACTAATTCATCAATATTGCAGGATGTGATGAAGCAAATGTTCTTCACTATAGGCTTAGACTGTTGTTTACAGATAGTGGGTAAACAGGTTAGGTACCATTGCTAAAGAGTAATGTTACGCTTTTAATCATGGGGTAACCCTGACGAACCTGTATTGAATGAGACAATTTTTTATGTTTTTATATGCAAATCAACTTGTATGCCTTGTTGTGTGTTTCATTTTATATAGAATGTAGTTTAAATGTGTGGGTGTAATTTAGTCAAAGGGTGGATTGATAAAATAAATGTGTGAGTAAGATATGACTAAAATGTTACACCCTCAGTTAAACTAATAATGTATGGCTAATTAGTATACTAGAGCTTAGAGAATTAATCAAATGTGTTTATATCCCAGCAACAGAGTATAGACTGGTTCCCAAAACATACATGGAGGGGGAGTGGAAGGCTTGCAGGATATTGTAAGAATGTGATAACTGAAGTTTGCAGCCTGCCTGAGCAAGGAGTAGGAAAAGATAAGAACACTACAGCCCGCCTAAAGAGGGGAGGGATTTATTTATCTGACGTGTGCATATAAAAATATTGTACGGCCATTTTGTTTTAGAACGTTCTCATGAATAAAGCCTGATGATTGTATGCTGGGCTGCTTGGTCTGATTATTAGAGATTTACAACCTCTGGGATACAGACTGAGTAATAAGTTCATTTTTTAAACATTGGGATAGAAATTCACGTAACAGCGCCATGCTCTACCAACTGAGCTACAGGGGGACCAGATACAGATGCACAAAGTCCATGACTGAGAACAAATCAAATCAGATTTATTATTTTTACAAATCTAATCCAGCAGACCTGGATTCAGTCAACCATAGTTCAGTGTCATTTCTACTAAATAAAAGTTCCAATTACTGTCTATGTGTGTATACACATGTATTTTCTCAAATATCAAATCCAGAGGAAAAGCTTAGCTATGCTTGTTCGAAGTCAGTATAAGGGCATTTCACTTGTTCCAACTTCATTTTCTGCAGAGTGATTTTTCGGATTATTTTGATATCTTAAAATAAACACACATACTAAAGCGCTGTTCTAATCTAAATATAATCTTAATTTACTTCCCATTGCTAAGACTAATTCGTTTTGGCATCAGATGGATAATTTGTATTTGGAAATTCCCAGCCAGGCAGGTAAAGATTAAAAATTAAAAAATTAAAATTAAAAGGCAGGTCAGAAAAACATTCAAAATGGCTGCCAGAGGTGAGAAACACAACTGCAGAGGCAGAATGTTCTGGTAAGAAGATATTATGACTGCAATGAATCATGATAAGAGGGAGCATTAGAGACAGATTGGAGACTATCAGCTCTGATTTGTTGTCATGAGAATTTCTATCTCTAATACTAAGCTTTGAATAATTCCTAGAGGTTGTGTAAGACTAGTTAATGAAGAATTAAACAGCTTCTCCAGTGTCTAAGAAATCAGCCATTTTTATTCATGAGAGCTCTCGCGCTCAAAACACACACAGCCTTTTTATATGCCTTCACACAAAGGAACTTTGCTCCGCCCACCTTTAGGCATCCTGTGACTTTCCACAGTATAGTTTTCAGCAGTTTCTAAGTCCCCTCTTACTATGGTATGTTGGCCTCCAACAGTTTCTACCCATATTCCCAGTTAGTGGTTTCATTGTCTTTATAACTCTAACACAGTTATACACAGTTTCGGGGTGGAACAATTTTATTAATTACCCTAAACATACAAATGTTCCTATCATTTGTCAACTAGCGCAGGTAGTTACAACTTCACTATCATTATTTCATTATTAACCTTGTAATTTCCTATAGTCTCATCAGATGACAAGCAGACTAGGTTAAGCAAACATTGAAGATCTTCTGGATTCATGTTGAAACATGCATGGATTGTTTCTTACCCAAACCAAGACATTCATTTTCTTTTTTTCCAAGTTTCAAGTGTAGTGTCTAAACAATTTATGACTTTGCTGACGTTTGCAAATGGTGTGTTAGAGGAAGTTGACTCAGCTTGAGGAAGCATCTGTAGAGCATTTCTATAGGGGCACCCTAAAACAGAGGAAGTCTGTTATGTGGCGTCCTGGGATTGGTCTGTAGGGGAAACCACCCATATCATGTCACAGATTATAAATACTATGGTTGGGACATAGGAGGGTGGTAACAACATATCAGAGATTGGGCCGGTTGTTCTCCAGATGTCTGCAGAAGTCTGTAAATTGGCGCTGAAATCTTCAATGTAAATAAACTATTATAATCGAGGACAGTGTCAGCGGATTCCTTGTTCTCACAGCATAATTAGCATAATTATTTAGGTACCACACAAGGAAGATGCTCAGTCAGATTGGTCTGATCTAGGGCAGTGTTAGGATTATTTGATCTACTCTCATTATATGGCTGACTTTTATTGTGCTCACACGTGATAAAGACGTCATAAAAAGGCCTATGCTAATAAAAGTAGACTAGATTGAGGCTGAATTATAGCTCAGCTGGTAGAGCACAGCGCTTGTAACGCCAGGGTAGTGGGTTTGATCCCCGGGACCACCCATACACAAAAATGTATGCACACATGACTGTAAGTCGCTTTGGATAAAAGCGTCTGCTAAATGGCATATTATTATTATCAGGGTCTGGATGAGGTAATAAGGGAGACTGGCAGGTTTTGGACTTGGCCCTGCTTTCACAAAGGATGACATCAAAAACATCATTCATACAAACTGTGTATACCGACCACGATGGCAGAACGTACCTGCTGAACGTACAAACAGGATCTCAAATGATGCCTTCCCTTCCTGGACTCCATTGGTGTTGTGCACTGTGCATGAGTAGTTTGTGGAACCACTGTATGTAGCCTTCAGAACTGTTAGTTTACTGGAGAGGCTAAACAGTTCGTCGTCGGTCTCTTTGGCCACCAGTTCAGCACTCTCTGTGCAGTTTGTGCCAAACTCGTCAAACCACCAGATCAACCCTTTTTGGTGCCCGCCTGTAGAGTTGCAGAAAATGGTCACATTCGTGTTCTGTTTGATGCTGTTCTCAGGACTGGAACTCATGGTTGGAGATTTGTACATAGCTGGAAGAGAGAGAGGAAGATACATTATATTATATACATGTGGGTGCTGTTCGCAACAGTAGTTAACAACGTCAGTGGGTAAACATTGTTAAGACAGACTCTGCACCTTTTCAACATCAATTCAATGGTTATAACTTGGAATGAGATTACAGTGGGAGTGATTTTTAATAAACTGGAATGACCTTTCTTTTATCACTCACATATTCTAATTGAGTCTGTGTACATTATTTGTAAACACTGATTGCATGCCATGGGCAGAATGGCATTATGGAGGCTAGTTGTGGACGTGGTACTACTGTGTACCATTTGAGCACTGTCATTCTGAAACAGAAAGTAAACAACAATCCTGCTGTGCTGTACAATCACACACTTACAAATAGATCTGAACTCCCCCTGAACATATTCCAGAATAAACATCCTTATCAACTTTATATCATAACTGTATGAAATTGTGTGTATGTGACAACAATGGAAGTTCAATAGAACTTCATTCCAACGCATTTCGGCATGTGGGCATCCAATCAAATCAAATCAAATGTTATTTGTCACATACACGTGTTTAGCAGATGTTATTGCAGGTGTAGCGAAATGCTTCTGCTTCTAGCTCCGACAGTGCAGTAATATCTAACAAGTAATATCGAATAATTTCACAATATATACACAATACACACAATCTAAGTAAGGGATGGAATTAAGAATATATACATATATGGACGAGCAATGACAGAGCAGCATGGACTTAGATACAGTCGAATATTATGGAATACAGTATATACATATGAGATGAGTAATGCAAGATATGTAAACATTATTAAAGTGACTAGTGTTCCATTTCTTAAAGTGGCCAGTGATTTCTAGTCTATGTTGATAATGTGCTAGTGATGGCTATTTAACAGTCTGATGGCCTTGAGATAGAAGCTGGAGGGCGGGTAGTGTGCCCCCGGTAATGCATTGGGTAGACCGCACCACCCTCTGGAGAGCCCTGCGGTTGCGGGCGGTGCAGTTGCCATACCAGGCGGTGATACAGCCCGACAGGATGCTCTCAATTGTGCATCTGTAAAAGTTTGTGAGGGTTTTAGCTCTGTTGCGCCTTCTTCACCACACTGTCTGTGTGGGTGGACCATTTAAGTTTGTCAGTGATGTGTACGCCAAGGAACTTGAAGCTTTCTACCTTCTCCACTATGGTCCCGTCAATGTGGATAGGGGGGTGCACCCTCTGATGTTTCCTGAAGTCCACGATCATCTCCTTTGTTTTGTTGACATTGAGTGAGAGGTTATTTTCCTGGCACAACACTCCCAGAGCCCTCACCTCCTCCCTGTAGGCTGTCTCCTCATTGTTGGTAATCAAGCCTTCTACTGTTGTGTCGTCTACAAACTTGATGATTGAGTTGGAGGCATGCTTGGCCACACAGTCATGGGTGAACAGGGAGTACAGGAGTGGGCTGAGCATGCACCCTTATGGGGCCCCAGTGTTGAGGATCAGCGAAGTGTTGGTGTTGTTTCCTACCTTCACCACCTGGGGGCGGCCCGTCAGGAAGTCCAGGACTCAGTTGCGCAGGGCGGGGTTCAGACCCAGGGCCTCGAGCTTAATGAAGAGCTTGGAGGGTACTATGGTGTTGAATGCTGAGCTATAGTCAATGAACAGTATTCTTACATAGGTATTCCTCTTGTCCAGATGGGATAGGGCAGAGTGCAGTGTGATGGCGATTGCATCGACTGTGGATCTATTGGGGTGGTAAGCAAATTGAAGTGGGTCTAGGGTGACAGATAAGGTAGAGGTGATATAATCCTTGACTAGTCTCTCAAAGCACTTCATGATGACAGAGGTGAGTGCTACGGGGCGATAGTCATTTAGTTCAGCTACCTTTGCTTTCTTGGGTACAGGAACAATGGTGTTCATCTTGAAGCATTTGGGGACAGCAGATTGGGATGGGGAGAGTTTGAATAGGTCCGTAAACACACCAGCCAGCTGGTCTGCGCATGCTCTGAGGACGCAGCTAGGGATGCCGTCTGGGCCGGCAGCCTTGCGAGGGTTAACACGCAAAAATGTCTTACTCACGTCGGCCACGGAGAAGGAGCGCCCACAGTCCTTGGTAGTGGGCCGCGTTGGTGGCACTGTGTTATCCTCAAAGTGGGCGAAGAAGGTGTTTAGCTTGTCCGGAAGCAAGACGTGGCTGGTTTTCCTTTTGTAGTCCGTGATTGTCTGTAGACCCTGCCACATATGCCTCGTGTCTGAGCTGTTGAATTGCGACTCCACTTTGTCTCTATACTGCCGTTTTGCCTGTTTGATTGACTTGCGGAGTAATGGTTGAGGGTTTTAGCCGCGCGAGTACAACAGTCGATATGTTGATAGAACTTCGGCAGCCTAGTCCTCAAATCAGTCATAACACCCAGATGAAGGCTTTGATCCGAAACACATACAAATAAATAAGTTGTTGTATTGTATTGTATTCTTCTATTGCCCTCCAAGAGTGGCTGAATATCTCACATGTTCAGTTTGCTTCTTTCATGAACCTGTGTTGAAAGGTGTTTATCTTTTTGTAATCACACTTGGTTGAACTGTAGATCACAAACTGGCATCACCACTGTCTGTTTCCTCCATGCATTCATACGCCCCCTTGTCGGCCATCTTGGTATTTGTCAACAACAAGGACACATTCATATTCTTCTTGTTCCAGGATGGCACGGCAAATTTAAATCCAAGGGTTGAGTTATTTTCTTCTTTATGGTATTCCAACAAAGATGCATCACCTCCCACTCTCTTCCAGGTCACTGTCAAGATGGTCACGTTCTGAACAGTTTTGACATTACACTCCAGCAGTGACTGCTGATCATGAACCCCATGGTATTCTTCTTTACACTCCAGTTTGACAAAAGCTATAAGTAAAATATCATTACAGAGAAAAATTGACATTAATACAAAAGAGAATTACTGTTATAGTAGTCAGTTTTATCATAATGTGACCAATCTTACTGAACTTTTAGTAAAAAATTATATACAGTTCTCCCAAACCACAAAGTTAACAATCAGCTGTTTTTGTGTTTTTGTATATAACATTTTATAACCATTATTATGGAATTTATGGCACAACTTACTCTCAGAGGAATTTCCAGCTCTGATACAGGCAAAATGGATCACTAAAAACAGCAAGCTGGTAGCTGAAGTCATCTTTGGTTCCTGAGAAAGAAGAGAGAACTGTACAATGACAACACTTGTCACAGCAGTATGAGGTCAGACTATAGCCTGCGTGAGGTAGGTCTTTAGACTGCCTGTCACTCACAATGGCTCTGGACTGTCATCCGAAAATAAAGACATTTAAAAGTTGCTAACAGAAACAAATCCAGATCGACTAAAGTAAAGTACTGAATAGGTCTTAACTAGCCCTCCTGTAGCTCAGTTGGTAGAGCATGGCGCTTGCAACGCCAGCGTTGTGGGTTCGATTCCCACAGGGGGCCAGCATGAAAAATGTATGCACTCACTAACTCTGAATAAGAGCGTCTGCTAAACGACTAAAATGTAACTATACTGAATAAAAATATAAACGCAATATGCAACCATTTCATTGAGTTACAGTTCATATGACGAAATCAGTCAATTTAAATACATTCATTAGGTTCTAATCTATGGATTTCACATGACTGGGAGTACAGATACAGTGGGGGGAAAAAGTATTTAGTCAGCCACCAATTGTGCAAGTTCTCCCACTTAAAAAGATGAGAGAGGCCTGTAATTTTCATCATAGGTACACGTCAACTATGACAGATAACATGATAATTTATTTTCCAGAAAATCACATTGTAGGATTTTTAATGAATTTATTTGCAAATTATGGTGGAAAATGAGTATTTGGTCAATAACAAAAGTTACTCAATACTTTGTTATATACCCTTTGTTGGCAATGACACAGGTCAAACGTTTTCTGTAAGTCTTCACAAGGTTTTCACACACTGTTGCTGGTATTTTGGCCCATTCCTCCATGCAGATCTCCTCTAGAGCAGTCATGTTTTGGGGCTGTCGCTGGGCAACACGGACTTTCAACTCCCTCCAAAGATTTTCTATGGGGTTGAGATCTGGAGACTGGCTAGGCCACTCCAGGACCTTGAAATGCTTCTTACGAAGCCACTCCTTCGTTGCCCGGGTGGTGTGTTTGGGATCATTGTCATGCTGAAAGACCCAGCCACGTTTCATCTTCAATGCCCTTGCTGATGGAAGGAGGTTTTCACTCAAAATCTCACGATACATGGCCCCATTCATTCTTTCCTTTACACGATCAGTCGTCCTGGTCCCTTTGCAGAAAAACAGCCCCAAAGCATGATGTTTCCACCCCCATGTTTCACAGTAGGTATGGTGTTCTTTGGATGCAACTCAGCATTCTTTGTCCTCCAAACACGACGAGTTGAGTTTTTACCAAAAAGTTATATTTTGGTTTCATCTGACCATATGACATTCTCCCAATCCTCTTCTGGATCATCCAAATGCACTGTAGCAATCTTCAGACGTGCCTGGACATGTACTGGCTTAAGCAGGGGGACACGTCTGGCACTGCAGGATTTGAGTCCCTGGCGGCGTAGTGTGTTACTGATGGTAGGCTTTGTTACTTTGGTCCCAGCTCTCTGCAGGTCATTCACTAGGTCCCCCCGTGTGGTTCTGGGATTTTTGCTCACCGTTCTTGTGATCATTTTGACCCCACGGGGTGAGATCTTGCGTGGAGCCCCAGATCGAGGGAGATTATCAGTGGTCTTGTATGTCTTCCATTTCCTAATAATTGCTCCCACAGTTGATTTCTTCAATCCAAGCTGCTTACCTATTGCAGATTCACTCTTCCCAGCCTGGTGCAGGTCTACAATTTGGTTTCTGGTGTCCTTTGACAGCTCTTTGGTCTTGGCGATAGTGGAGTTTGGAGTGTGACTGTTTGAGGTTGTGGACAGGTGTCTTTTATACTGATAACAAGTTCAAACAGGTGCCATTAATACAGGTAACGAGTGGAGGACAGAGGAGCCTCTTAAAGAAGAAGTTACAGGTCTGTGAGAGCCAGAAATCTTGCTTGTTTGTAGGTGACCAAATACTTATTTTCCACCATAATTTGCAAATAAATTCATTAAAAATCCTACAATGTGATTTTCTGGAGAAAAAAAATCTAAATTTGTCTGTTATAGTTGACGTGTACCTATGATGAAAATTACAGGCCTCTCTCATCTTTTTAAGTGGGAGAACTTGCACAATTGGTGGCTGACTAAATACTTTTTTCCCCCACTGTATGCATCTGTTGATCACAGATACGTTTAAAAAGAAAATGGGCCTCACAATGGGCCTCATCACAGTATTTCTGTGCATTCAAATTGCCATCGATAAAATGCATTTGTGTTCGTTGTCCGTAGTTTATACCTGCCCATACATAACCCCACAGCCACCATGGGGCACTCTGTTCACAACGCTGACATCAGCAAACCGCTCGCCAACACGACGCAATACATGTGGTCTGCAGTTATGAGGCCGGTTGGTGTTATTGCCAAATTCCCTCAAACAAAATTTGAGAGAAAAATATTTTTTCTGGGATCTTATATTTCAGCCCATGAAACATGGGACCAACACTTTACATGTTGCGTTCATATTTCTGTTCAGTGTAAGTGCATTGTGAATGAGGGCCTAACATAGGCAAAACAGGCAACTGTCTGCTATTTAGCTATCTACTGGTCACCTCACATCTGGATTGTCAACATGCCTGTTTCAACTATTTATTGCAGACAAATGCAATAAAATGTGAACATTATACAAATAGACGAAAGAGCATAACATTTAACATTTTAGTCATTTAGCAGACACTCTTATCCAGAGTGACTTAACAGTTCATCTTAAGATACACTATATATACAAAAGTATGTGGACACCCCTTAAAATTAGTGGATTCAGCTATTTCAGCCACACCCGTTGCTGAGAGGTGTACAAAATCGAGCACACTGACATTCACTCTACATAGACAAACATTGGCAGTAGAATGGACTTACTGAAGAGCTCAGTGACTTTCAACATGGCACCGTCATAGGATGCCACCTTTCCAACAAGTCAGTTCATCAAATTTCTGCCCTGCTAGAACTGCAGTGGTCAACTGTAAGTGCTGTTATTGTGAAGTGGAAACGTCTAGGAGCAGCAACGGCTGAGCCACGAAGTAGTATGACACACAAGCTCACAGAATGGGACCGGCGAGTGCTGAAGGATTAGCGCGTAAAAATCGTCTGTCCTCGGTTGCAACACTCACTACCGAGTTCCAAACTGCCTTTGGAAGAAATGTCAGCACAAGAACTGTTAGTCGGGAGCTTCATGAAATGGGTTTCCATGGCTGAGCAGCTACACACAAGCATAAGATCACCATGCGCAATGCCAAGCGTCGGCTGGAGTGGTGTAAAGCTCGCCGCCATTGGACTCTGGAGCAGTGGAAACACGTTCTCTGGAGTGATAAATCACGCTTCACCATCTGGCAGTCTGACGGACGAATCTGGGTTTGGCGGATGCCAGGTGAACGCTACCTGCCTGAATACATAGTGCCAACTATAAAGTTTGGTGGAGGAGGATAATGGTCTGGGGCTGTTTTTCAGGGATCGGGCTAGGACCCTTAGTTCCAGTGAAGGGAAATCTTAATGCTCCAGCATACAATGACATTCTAGACGATTCTATGCTTCCAACATTGTGGCAACAGTTTGGGGAAGGCCCTTTCCTGTTTCAGCATGACAATGCCCCATGCACAAAGCGAGGTCCATACAGAAATGGTCTGTTGAGATCGGTGTGGAAGAACTTGACTGGCCTGCACAGAGCCCTGACCTCAACCCCATTGAACACCTTTGGGATAAATTGGAACGCCGACTGCAAGCCAGGCCTAATCCCCCAACATCAGTGCCAGACCTCACTAATGTTCTTGTGGCTGAATGGAAGCAAGTCCCTGCAGCAATGTTCCAACATTGCTGGAAAGCCTTCCCAGAAGAGTGGAGGCTGTTATAGCAGCAAAGGGGGGGTCCAACTCCGTATTAATGCCCATGATTCTGGTTCGACGAGCAGGTGTCCACATACTTTTGGTCATGTAGTGTAGCTAGGTGGGACAACCACATATCATAGTCATAGTAAATAAATGTTTCCTCAATAAAGTAGCTATCAGCAAAGTCAGAGCTAGTAAGGCGGGAAAAAGTCAAGTGCAAGTGATATTTCACGGAAGGCTTTTTTTTTTTTACACAATGAAGGAAACACATACTATTACTAAGGAAACAATGTGTGGGAGATGACAGTAATGTTAAATGAATTCAAGTGGCCACTAAAGCTGTTGGAGTTATTCTCCCCCACAATATCCTCATTGCTTCTGCAGCCAATGCAGCTGAAGAATGCCCAAAGGAATAAACAGCTGCAATGGGAGAATAAGGGATTTGTTCCTCCCTTGTGAAGGCTACTGGAAGGACCTTTTATGGAAAGATGCATGAAATATGCCTGCATATGCAAAAATGCATGCGATGATCAAGATATTAAAGTATTCAGTACCCCGCTCTTCAATTTAATTTAACACACTTCTTGTACTCCAACTGGTCTTTGATTCTAAAACTTTTCCAAGTAGATTTCAACATTTCCCCCCAAAAAAAGTATAGTGATCTAGGCTATGTCTGTGCCTTTCTGTTCCCAGCAGGGTTGGGGTCAATTCAGAATTCAATTGAGAATGCTTCATAAAAACAGAATCAACCTTGATTGGTGGGAAGAAACTGCTTGCCTTACCTGCTGCTGTTGACAGTTCATTGAGTGACAAGTGGAACAACAGAAAACACCTCAGCAGTGACATCACCATCACCACACCTGGTTGTGTACTGCTGTCTGTCTCACGGTCAACCACACCTGCATGTATTACTGCAGTCTAATTTATAATTCTTAATTGAGTCAAATTCTATGTATACACTACCTGTCAAAAGTTTTAGAACACCTACTCATTCCAGGGTTTTTCTTTATTTGTACTATTTTCTACATTGTAGAACAGTAGTGAAGACATCAAAACTACGAAATAACACATATGGAATCATGTAGTAACCAAAGAAGTGTTTAACAAATCAAAATATATTTGAGATTTTTCAAATAGCCGCCCTTTGCCTTGATGACAGCTTTGCACACTCTTGGCATTCTCTCAACCAGCTTCATGAGGTAGTCACTTGGAATGAATTTCAATTAACAGGTATGCCTTCTTAAAAGTTAATTTGTGGAATTTATTTACTTCTTAATAAGTTTGAGATGATCAATTGTGTTGTGACAAAGTAGGGGGGGTATACAGAAGATAGTCCCATTTGGGAAAATACCAAGTCCATATGGCAAGAACAGCTCCAATAAGTAAAGAGAAATGACAGTCCATCATTACTTTAAGACATGAAGGTCAGTAAATAGGGAAAATGTCAAGAACTTTGAAAGTTTCTTCAAGTGCAGTGGCAAAAACCATCAAGCGCTATGATGAAACTGCCTCTCATGAGGACCGCCACAGGAATGGAAGACCCAGAGATACCTCCGCTGAAGAGGATAAGTTCATTAGAGTTACTCACAAATTGCAGCCCAAATAAATGCTTCAAGTAAGGTACACTTAACCAGCATGGCTACTACAGCATTCTGCAGAGATCCGCCATCCCATCTGGTTTGGGCTTAGTGGGACTATAATTTGTTTTTCAACAGGACAATGACCCAACACACCTCCAGGCTGTGTAAGGACTATTTTACCAAGGAGAGTGATGGAGTGCTGCATCAGATGACCTGGCCTCCACAATCCCCCGACCTCAACCAAATTGAGATGGTTTGGGATGAGTCGGACCGCAGAGTGAAGGAAAAGCAGCCAACAAGTGCTCAGCATATGTTGGAACTCCTTCAAGACTGTTGGAAAAGCATTCCAGGTGACGCTGGTTGAGAGAATGCCAAGTGTGCAAAGCTGTCATCAAGGCAAAGGGTGGCTATTTGAAGAATCTCAAATATAAAATATATTTTGATTCGTTTAATACTTTTTGAGTTACTACATAATTCCATATGTGTTATTTCATAGTTTTGATGTCTTCACTATTATTCTTCAATGTAGAAAATAGTAAAAATAAAGAAAAACCCTTGAATGAGTAGGTGTTCTAAAACTTTTGACCGGTTGGTTATGTGTATTATAATTTCAATGGTTTAATGTGTTAGACAAAAAATATGGTGAGTGGAGAGTTTAGACGGATTGCATTGTTATAAACACAACAACAGACCCAACTATAAATCAACTTTATTGTATTCACATATCTACAGTTATGTTAAAGCAGATCAACGTTACATCATGTTGTGTTCATGTTATTCATCTTTCAGATGTCGATTTTTCTCAATCTTTGCATCAGAATTTTAATGTGAGGAGAGAATTCCCACTAGTGGACATGTTGCCTTCTGTTCAGTGTCACATATCTTACTTGAATTCAATCAAACCAGGGTTGTATTCAGAAGGGACGAAATGAAAGCCGATGTAAAGGGACCACCTGAACTTAAGATACGAAACATTTGTTTTTGTTTTCCGTTGCGAATTGTTTTGCTACATTTTGCTACTGTGTACTAATGTACTGTCGCTGGGCAAAAAAATTAGTCTTCAGGTACTGTAACTACTTATATAATACATAATGATGAAAAATATATATATTTCTTTGTGCAGTAATTATATACATTTTCCTCACAATGGGTTACCCGCTTTTGGTTCCTTAAAACAGTTTAGAACATGAAAGAATGCAGATTTGCCTCCCCATCAATTATGATTTTCATTTGTTTAAAGATTGTATCTTTATTTGTTTAAAGATTGTAGTAATTAAAAACAACAATTAAAAAGCTTCCTTTCATTCTATTTACAAAACTTTCCGTGTAAAAACTTTCTTACTGCCCTATATTTAATGAACAGTATCAAGGTGCGGGATTTGAATAGGAATTTCACAGTGTGAAATATATCAAAAAATATCATACAAAAGATGATTTACATGTTTTATCTGAACAAAGTAAAAAAGCTTTCATCTCAATGATCTCATTAATAACAAACAAAGTCACATATAAAAACATACAAAATGTAGCAACAATAAAGTCTGTTATAGGGGGTAAAGTGCAGAGTAGGCCTCATTGAGCATTTGTAGTCAGCAATGGGTGGGGGGGTCAGGTAAAGCGCTTTCTTTTTTATCTTAAAGGGACAGTGTTGTATTTTGAGACAGGCTTGAATAAGCTAAGTAGCCAATAGGCAGAGGGTAGCATAATTTGTCTGATTCTCTGTAATAATGGTATGGGAATAATGAGGCATTTATTTTGTAAAGTGGTTTTTCTTGCATCAAACAACATTTTCAGTCACCGCCTTGTCTGAAGGACAAGTGGATAAACAGGTTAATGTCAAGCCCTGCATGTTTTTTTTTCTAAAGTCTTTGAATGTAGGCCTACATTGAACACCACACATTGGCTGCTACTGTAGGCTGAACAATAGAACAGCTATTTCCATGTTAAAATGTTATGGGATGCATTTGCTCCATTGTTTTTTATGGTAGGCCACTCTGGTAGGCCTACGTTATGATAGCCACACTAGCCTACTTGACCACTGTTAAAACAAACTTAAAATGGGTACAGCCTCAGTGTTTACAGTAAACACGCGGCGGAAGTTGCACAGAATTTTCGCAACGTTCAAGTTTACGCTCAGCAGACCTGAAATTTGCTCAGTCATGAAAAAAACATTGCTGTATAGAACCATTCATGTTAGGCTTTTAAACATAGGCTTTTAAAGTCATCAACCACAGTCATCAACCACAGTGCTTAAAGGCTGGTATTATCAGCAGATTAAGAAGAAACAAATGCCTCAATCAGAATGACCTGAGTGCCAAAGTGACTGTCACCGGACACTTAACAGGAAACAGTCCATCAAAGGATAGTGATGGTGACAAGCCCCTTATTGATCGTCAAGGAAACAGTCCCTTCCAGAGACTGCCAGTTAACTAATCAGTTACTAGAGACTGGAATGCTGATCCTATGAACTGTCACTGTTTAGACCTGGAGAGAGGGAGAGGGAGGGAGGGAAAGAAAAAGAGACCGACAGAGACAGACAGACAGAGAAGGCGAGAGAGAGAAAGATGGAGAGAATGAGAGAATGAGAGAGAAAGAGCATATTGTTACAAAATAGAAAGTAAAAACAGGAGACACCACTAATCATTACAAGGAGCAAGGACAGCATGTAAACTACATGATAACTACAAGGTTAACTACAAGATAATCAATCATTTAAAAAAACATGTCCCCATGAAGCTATGATACTGAATAGAAAGAGCTCTATTATAAATACAGTAGATGTAGATACAATATACTTTAGATAGATATATTCATTTTAGATGTACAATATAAATATAGATATATTAATTGTAGATTGAACACATGGACACAGTACCTTTTGCTTCAACATCGCATCATGCCTGGTATCTGTTTGGTGGCCACCTAAAAAAGAAAAAGACTAAGTCAGTGATCGTGATGTCTGTATGTCTCATCATGATGTCTGCCTGTTGGATGGCCACTGTGACCTATAACCGACAAGGACAAGTGAGAAGCTGATCTGTGACATATTGTGGAGGAATGTCATCTAACATTTAAATCTCCAGAGGACCATTGCCTCCTCCAAAGTTCAGTGGAATTAACAGTTGGGCAGAAAGAGAAAAGTTAGTCAAGACAGCAAGTCTTCCCTCACAGTGCAGGTAGGCCCATATTTCACCCAGGATTACATAATAGTATGACCCAAATAAATAATCTCCCTTCACCACAGCCACGCAGCTAAACTACCTTAATTAGGACAGGGGTGAGTCAATTATTACGATTTCCCCATGAGAACAGTACAAAAGCGGAGCCATCATCATCGCCAACTGGTTTGGTAAACAATTAGTAATCATCCAGCCTCCATTTTATACTCCACTTGTGACGCATGTGATGAAACACTTCCCTTTGACCTACATTCAATCACCCTAGTAGTCATGTTTAATAGGATAGCTAAGACAGATACTGTGTGTACAGCATATCAGATATTATACAGGGACAGATACAGGGACGGACTGGGACCAGAAACCAGGCCCATGTTTGCCCCTGGAGGTCCCCATACCTGCCCTAGACTGATAGGACAGACACTGTGTGTACAGCATATCAGGAATAAGGGCCCAATGCAAACAAAGTATCTCCCTCTGAAGCTACAGTAAAGAGGGACAGAGAGAGGATGTGGTTAGTGAGGAGATTTGGAAGGGTGACAACAGACAGACATGTGTTCCGGGTGAGTGGCCACTGTTTCACAGTTTTACTGTCCAAGGACGAGTGGCTAGTTTCACAAACCAAAAGCATGTGAATGCTAGCCTGGTCAAATAGCTGATTGTACTACTCTTGCCAACTCCATAGCTCATTGTCAAGACAAAGATGTTACGCATGACGATGAGTGACAAGGAGTGATAGCCCAAACAGACTGGCACTCAGGCTATGTGAATGCATTATGGAGTATTGCTTTTGCCTTGGAAAATGTAATAATTTGTTGAGTTATAATTTTGATCAAATAGTCAAAATATGATGTTGGTCATTATAAAGTATATGTATTGCTTTTACAGGGAATTCTGTGAACTGTCTAGAAAAGATGGGAAACCATAAACCCAAAGTGATAAATAAATATAAACTATTCAATATTTCAATAAATACTGAATATAGAAGGACATACTCATTAATGGCAAGGTGGACTTCCTTCGAGCTCCTGTCAAAAAAGACACAAAACCTACTATTACAATTTATCTTAAAACAAATTAAATAAAAAAGATAATAATTAAACCAAAAGCGATGTTGATGAACAATAGATAGCCTACTAGTGCAGTTAGAACTTAATCCATTAATAGATAATAGTATTATTATAATATTATACACCGAGTTTACAAATCATTTAGGACACCTGCTCTTTCCATGACATAGACTGACCAGGTGAATCCAGGTGAAAGCTATGATCCCTTATTGATGTTTAAATCGACTTCAATCAGTGTAGATGAAGGGGAGGAGACAGGTTAAAGCAAGATTTAAGCCTTGATACAATTGAGACATGGATTGTGTATGTGCCACTCAGAGGGTGAATGGGCAAAACAAAATATTTAAGTGCCTTTGAATGGGGTATGGTAGTAGGTACCAGGCGCAAATGTAGAACTGCAAAGCTACTGGGTTTTTCACGCTCAACAGTTTCCCGTGTGTATCAAGAATGGTCCACCACCCAAAGGACAACCAGCCAACTTGACACAACTGTGGGAAGCATCGGAGTCAACATGGGCCAGCATCCCTGTGGAACTCTATCAACACCTTGTAGAGTCCATCCCCTGACAAATTGAGGCTGTTCTGAGGGCAAAAGGTGTTTGCAACTCAATAATAGGAAGGTGTTCCTAATGTTAGGTATACTCAGTGTATATTATAATAGTATTATGGATTGTATTAAGTATTGACTATACTGTTATTCATGGTTAATAGTATGCCACAACATGCCACTGATTTGACTACTCTAAACGATTGGCTGAGTTACCAGACAACATTACAGGTTGTGTAATCCCCCATGCAAAGCCAAAATGGATGGCTGCCAGAGCATGCAGGCTTGGCAGAGGAAGGGCCTCTGTGCAGGTTAATCTAGCACTAGCTAGCATGACAAACAGATACATGATCAGATACATGATCAAAGCTCCATGTAATGATATTATGGAGTTATACACACACAACAGTCTCTACTGTATGAGTATGACAATTCATGTACTTACGTTGGGCGGAGCGCTTCTTAAAAAACTGCAGCGCAGCAAGGAGTCCAATGATCAGAGATCCTATGACTACAACCGGGGCAAGCCAATTGGTGTTGGACACAGAATCCAAGTTGTCAGCTTTACTACCTGGACAGACAAAATTGACAAAAATTGGGAGTTACAAAATAAAATGGTCAATTCATATGAAGTCAAGAGAAAAAGGTTAGCTATGCTAGGGTCAAAGTCAGTATCAGGGCATTTCAGACACACAGACTTGAGCTCTGTTCTAATCTAAATGCATCTTAATAACCTTTTACTGCAGTGGGCTAAATCAGGATCACACAGAGAGATTATTGGTAAAAACAAATCTAGAAGACTGGAATATAACAAAACCGTTTGACATAGAAACACCGGATTTTCTTAGTTTTTTAAAATAATATTACATAAATGCTTCAAAATTCACAAAAGGTTACGTTAACTGATGAAGATTATCTCATAGAACAAAACGTATAAGATCTCCTAAGCCTATGTTTACCACAGACCTTATTTTTGCAGTTTATCCAAAAACACTACAAAAACTCCATTCATTTTCTCAATAGGCTTTGTCCAACGAACCGTGGTGGAGTTAGTGCCTACAAAAAGACGCCATTACTATTGCACTCTATTGTTTCTTATCCAAACAAAGACAAACATTTTCCTGTTGTTCGAGTTTCAAGGAAGGTGTTCAGTCAGAATCGGGAGCATGTTATGGCCTGACCTAGGGCAGTGTTATAATTCTTTGTATCTACTCCACTCTTCAGTGACATGTTGTTCTCTCATTATAAGGCTGACTTTTTATTGCGTTCAGAAATCTGATAAAGACGTCGTAAAAAAGACCTATGCTAATAAAAGTAGACTAGATTGAGGCTGAATTGTTTTACAATTATCAGGGTCAGGATGAGGGAATAAGATAAACTGGCAGGTTTTGGACTTGGCCCTGCTTTCACAAAGGATGACATCACCAACATATTCATACCATTAGGTAGCAGCCATGGCAGAACATACCTAAGTCTCGGGACACAAACTGGATCTCAAATGATGCCTTCCCCTCCAGGGCTCCATTGACATTGAGCACTTTGCACATGTAGTTCGTGTAACTGGATGTTGCCTTCAACACTGTGAATTTACTGGCGAGGCTAAACAGTCCATCGTCAGTCTCTTTGGCCACCAGTTCAGCACTGCGCGTCCAATTGTTGCCAGACTGATCAAACCACCAGATCAACCCTTTCTGGTGCCCGCCTGTAGAGTTGCAGAAAATGGTCACATCTGTGTTCTCTTGGATGTTGGTGTCAGGGATGGAGCTCATGGTTGGAGTTTTGTACTTAGCTGGAAGAGAGCGAGAGTAAGGGGAAATTATATTATAAATGTGGGTGCTATTTGGTACATCAGTAGTTATACAACGTCAGTGGGTAAACATTGTCTAGACGGACTTTGCACCTTTTCAACGTCAATCCAACGATTATAACTTGGAATGAGATTACAGTGGGAGTGATTTTAATAAACTGGAATGACCTTTCTTTTATCACTCACATGTTCTAATTGAGTCTGTGTACATTATTTGTAAACACTGATTGCATGCCATGGGCAGAATGGCATTATGGAGGCTAGTGGTGGACGTTGTACTACTGTGTACCATTTGAGCAATGTCATTCTGAAACAGAAAGTAAACAACGCTCCTGCTGTGCTGTCCAATCACACACCTACAAATAGATCTGAACTCCCCCTGAACATATTCCAGAATAAACATCCTTATCGACTTTGTATCATGACTGTATGGAAGTGCTTTCTCAGAAAATAAAAGTCTGTTCTACTGTATTTCACAATTCTATCCTCGATGCAAGACTTCGTGGTTGTATGGTTGTGTGCATGTGTGTGTGTGTGTGTGTGTGACAACAATGGAAGTTGAATAGAACTTTCCAAAGGATTTCAGCGTATGGGCATCATAAGCTATGAGCCGAGACACATAAAAAAAAAAGAAGTTGTCTATTCTTCTATTGCACTCCAAGCTTGGCTGAATATCTCACATGTTTAGTTTGCTCCTTTCATGAACCGGTGTTGAAAAATGTGTATATTTTCCTAAAATGACACTGTAGACGGTCTATGACTCACCTGTGACACTGAGTCTGGGTGTAGCTTTGGCAGTCCCAACTTCTGTTTCCACCTCGCATTCATACTCCCCATTGTCGGCCATCTTGGTATTTGTCAACAACAAGGACACATTCATATTCTTCTTGTTCCAGGATGGCTCAGCAAATTTAAACCCAGGGGTTGGGTCCATTTTATCTTTATGGTATTCCAACAAATTAGCAGCAGCAGCTCCCACTCTCTTCCAGGTCACCGTTATGATGGTCACATCCTCAACCACTGGTTTGACAACGCACTCTAGAATTGACTGCTGACCATAAACCCCATGGTATTCTGTTTTACACTCCAGTTTGACAAATGCTGTTAGTAAAATATCAGAGAAAAAAATTGACATTAATACAAGAGAGAATTACTGTTATTGTAGTCAGTTTTATCATGTGACCAATCTTATTGAACTTTTGGTTTAAAAAATAATACACAGTTCTCCCAAACCACAGAGAAAGGTAACAATCATCTGAAAACTATTTTTGTATATAACATTTTATAACCATTATCATGGCATTCATGGCACAACTTACTCTCAAAGGAATTTCCAGCTCTGATACAGGCTAAATGGATCGCAAAAAACAGACGGTCTATGACTCACCTGTGACACTGAGTCTGGGTGTAGCTTTGGCAGTCCCAACTTCTGTTTCCACCTCGCATTCATACTCCCCATTGTCGGCCATCTTGGTATTTGTCAACAACAAGGACACATTCATATTCTTCTTGTTCCAGGATGGCTCAGCAAATTTAAACCCAGGGGTTGGGTCCATTTTATCTTTATGGTATTCCAACAAATTAGCAGCAGCAGCTCCCACTCTCTTCCAGGTCACCGTTATGATGGTCACATCCTCAACCACTGGTTTGACAACGCACTCTAGAATTGACTGCTGACCATAAACCCCATGGTATTCTGTTTTACACTCCAGTTTGACAAATGCTGTTAGTAAAATATCAGAGAAAAAAATTGACATTAATACAAGAGAGAATTACTGTTATTGTAGTCAGTTTTATCATGTGACCAATCTTATTGAACTTTTGGTTTAAAAAATAATACACAGTTCTCCCAAACCACAGAGAAAGGTAACAATCATCTGAAAACTATTTTTGTATATAACATTTTATAACCATTATCATGGCATTCATGGCACAACTTACTCTCAAAGGAATTTCCAGCTCTGATACAGGCAAAATGGATCGCAAAAAACAGCAAGCTGGTAGCTGAAGTCATCTTTGGATTCCTGAGTAGGAAGACAGAAATGTACAATGACAACACTTATCACAGCAGTATGAGGTCAGTCTATAGACTGTGTAAGGTAGGTTAATAGACTGCCTGTCACTCACAATGGCTCTGGACTGTCATCCGAAAATAAACATAAAACAGTTGCTAACAGAAACCAGACAGAAATTAATTATAATCCAGTGCTGAATATGTCTTAACCAGTGCTTGACTGTCCGGAACTGTCCGGCACACCATACTGGCACTTTTAATTTTGGGGGATTTGCGTACCGGCTCCTTTGTAAAAACAAAGTAGCCTATCGCTGGCCCAGATTCACACACCGAAGAAAACAAGGTTAATCAAACCGGATTTATTTTTGTGTGTATTTTATTAGGATCCCCATTAGCTGTTGCAAAAGCAGCAGCTACTCTTCCTGGGGTCCACACAAAACATTAATAGACAAGAACTACATACATATATTTTTTAAAGGCACACGTAGCCTACATATCAATACATACACACAAACTATCTAGGTCAAATAGGGGAGAGGCGTTGTGCCGTGAGGTGTTATCTGTTTTTTGAAACCAGGTTTGCTGTTTATTTGAGCAATATGAGATGGAACGGAGTTCCATGCAATTATGGCTCTATATAATAATGTACGCTTTCTTGAATTTGTTCTGGATTTGGGGACTGTGAAAAGACCCCTGGTGGCATGTCTGGTGGGGTAAGTGTGTGTGTGTCAGAGCTATGTGTAAATTGACTATGCAAACAATTTGGGATTTTCAACACATGAATGTTTCTTATAAAAAGAAGAAGTGATGCAGTCAGTCTCTCCTCAACTCTTAGCCAAGAGAGACTGGCATGCATAGTATTTATATCAGCCCTCTGATTACAATGAAGAGCAAGACGTGCCGCTCTGTTTTGGGCCAGCTGCAGCTTAACTAGGTCTTTCCTTGTAGCACTGGACCACAGGACTGGACAATAATCAAGATTAGACAAAACTAGAGCCTGCAGAACATGCTTTTTGGAGTGTGGTGTCAAAAAATCAGAGCATCTCTTTATTACAGACAGACCTCTCCCCATCTTTACAACCATTGAATCTATATGTTTTGACCATGATAGTTTACAGTCTAAGGTAAAGCCAAGTAATTTAGTCTCCTCAACTTGTTAAACAGCCACACCATTCATTACCAGATTCAGCTGAGGTCTACAACATAGGGAATAATTTGTACCAAATACAATGCTCTTAGTTTTAGAGATGTTCAGGACACACCATCACACCTCCTCCTCCATGCTTCACGGTGGGAACCACACATGCGGATCATCCTACTCTGCGTCTCACAAAGACACGGCAGTTGGAACCAAAAATCTCACATTTGGACTCATCAGACCAAAGGACAGATTTCCACCGGTCTAATGTCCATTGTTCGTGTTTCTTGGCCCAAGCAAGTCTCTTCTTCTTATTGGTGTCCTTTAGTAGTGGTTTCTTTGCAGCAATTCGACCATGAAGGCCTGATTCACACAGTCTCCTCTGAACAGTTGATGTTGAGATGTGTCTGTTACTTGAACTCTGTGAAGCATTTATTTGGGCTGCAATTTCTGAGGCTGGTAACTCTAATGAACTTATACTCTGTAGCAGAGGTAACTCTGGGTCTTCCTTTCCTGTGGTGGTCCTCATGAGAGCCAGTTTCATCATAGCGCTTGATGGTTTTTGCGACTGCACTTGAAGAAACTTTCAATGTTCTTGAAATGTTCCTGATTGACTGACCTCCAAGTCTTAAAAGTAATGATAGACTGTCATTCCTCTTTGCTTATTTGAGCTGTTCTTGCCATAATATGGACTTGGTCTTTTACCAAATAGGGCTATCTTCTGTATACCACCCCTACCTTGTCACAACACAACTGACTGGCTCAAATGCATTAAGAAGGAAATAAATTCCACAAATTAACTTTTAACAAGGCACAACTGTTAATTGAAATGTATTCCAGGTGACTACCTCATGAAGCTGGTTGAGAGAATGCCAAGAGTGTGCAAAGCTGTCATCAAGGCAAAGGGTGGCTATTTGAAGAATCTCAAATATAAAATATATTTTGATTTGTTTAACACTTTTTTGGTTACTACATGATTCCATATGTGTTAAAGGGGAAGTAAAGGACAAGGAAGTTCTATAACTATAATTCAGCTTATGAACTCAGCACTTAACTTGTTTGTGGTTTAGGGACAAAAATGAACAAACAATTCCATTTGGTATACTTGACATGGAGAAAGCGCCAAAATGTTTGAAAACACAAAAGGAAACATAACATGCATTTGCAGGACTCATAACTTTCACTACGCAAATAGATAAAGAGGTCATATAGCTTGTTCGACAAGGGAAAGTCCACCATGTCTTTTAAGGGTACTATTAGCCCTAAGCAAAGAAACATTACTAATACCTCACAAATCTACCCCTCGTGAAGCATAGCCTAACAGTACCCATAATGGTTTTGTCAGTGGCAAACAACTCACAACAACCGCCTGTAGACAATCCGAGTTTTTCTCAACTCAACTGTAGGCAGGCTAAGCTTTTCGAACACAGTAACATTTCCAACATGAAGCCCAATGGCATAACATTTCAAAATATCTTTTTTATTTTATTATCACGAGTGCTTGACAGTGACCGTCGTGGACTCGTGGTTTAATCTGTAAACGCACAATTATAAACCAATATCAACGGGCAACAATTAAGAATATTTATTCAGAAAAACAAAACATAGGCTACAGACACGGAAAACGTTAATCTTACCGCGCAAACCCTTCAGGCTGTTGACGTTTAGAAGATGTCGAAGGTCAGAGCGAATCTCTAAAGATCGTAACATTGACAGGCAACAGAATGTATGCCTACTTTCGCTTTCGCTATTATTAGTATGGGTGACGTGCCTTCAGAAAGTATCGACACCTCTGGACTTTTTGTTGCGTTACAGCCTGAATTTAAAATGGATCAAATATCGTTTTTTTGGCACTGGCCTACACACAATACCGCATAGTGTCAAAGTGGAATTATGTTTTTTGACATTTTACAAGTTAATAAAAAATGAATAGCTGAAATGTCTTGAGTTAAATACATTCAGGAGTAAAAATGTGCTTAACAAGTCACATAATAAGTTGCATGGAGTCATTCTGTATGCAATAATAGTGTTTAACTGAGGAACACATTAAGAATCTCCAATCCAAAGTTAAATCTAGAATCGGTTTCCTATTTCGCAACAAAGCCTCCTTCACTCATGCTGCCAAACATGCCCTCGTAAAACTGACTATCCTACCGATCCTTGACTTCGCCGATGTCATTTACAAAATAGCCTCCAACACTCTACTCAGCAAATTGGATGTAGTCTATCACAGTGCCATCCGTTTTGTCTCCAAAGCCCCATATACTACCCACCACTGTGACCTGTACGCTCTTGTTGGCTGGTCCTCACTACATATTCGTCGCCAAACCCACTGGCTCCAGGCCATCTATAAATCACTGCTGGGCAAATCCCCGCCTTATCTTAGCTCAACACCCACCCGTAGTATGCGCTCCAGCAGGTATATCTCACTGGTCATCCCCAAAGCCAACACCTCCTTTGGCCGCCATTCCTTCCAGTTCTCTGCTGCCAATGACTGGAACAAATTGCAAAAATCTCTGAAGCTGGAGACACTTATGTCCCTCACTAACTTTAAGCATCAGTTGTCAGAGCACCTTACCGATCACTGCACCTGTACACAGCCCATCTGAAATTAGCCTGCCCAACTACCTCATCCCTATATTGTTATTTATTTTTCTCATTTGCACCCCAGTATCTCTATTTGCACATCATCTCTATCATTCCAGTGTTAATACTAAATTGTAATTATTTTGCACTATAGCCTATTTATTGCCTTACCTCCATAACTTGCTACATTTGCACACACTGTATATATATTTTCTGTTGTATTTTTGACTTTATGTTTTGTTTTATCCCATATGTAACTCAGTGTTGTTGTTTCTTATCGCACTGCTTTGCTTTATCTTGGCCAGGTCGCAGTTGTAAATGAGAACTTGTTCTCAACTGGCTTACCTGGTTAAATAAAGGTTAAATAAAAATAAAAATAAGATGGGGACCAACAACATTGTACTTACTCTCCACAATACTAACCTAATTGACAGAGTGAAAAGAAGGAAGCCTGTATAGAATACAAATATTCCAAAACATGAATCCTGTATGCAACAAGGCACTAAATTAATACTGCAAAAAATATGGCAGAGCAATTAACTTTTGGTCCTGAATACAAAGTGTTATGTTTGGGACAAATCCAATACAACACATTACTGAGTACCACTCTCCATATTTTCAAACATAGTGGTGGCTTTATCGTATTATGGGTATGCTTGTCATCGTTAAGGACTGTGGAGTTTTTCAGGATAAAAAAGAAACGCAATGGAGCTAAACACAGGCGAAATCCTAGAGGAAAACCTGGCACACTCTGCTTTCCATCAGACACTGGGAGATTAATTCACCTTTCAGAAGGACAATAACCTAAAACACAAGGTCAAATCTACACTGGAGTTGCTTACCAAAAAGACAGTGAATTGTCCTGAGTGGCCGAGTTGTAATTTTGACTTAAATCTACTTGAAAATCTAGCAATGATCAACAACCAATTTGAAGAATTTTGAAAAGAATAAATGGACAAAATTGCACAATCCAGGTGTGGAAAGCTATTGGAGACTTACCCAGAAAGACTCACAGCTGTAATCACTGCCAAATGTGTTTCTACAAAGTATTGACTCAGAGATGTGAATACTTATGTAAATGTTGTATTTCTTTATTTCATTTTCAATAATTTAGCAAAAATGTCTAAAAACATGTTTTCACTTTGTCATTATGGGGATTGTGTGTAGATGGGTGAGAATTGTTGTTGTTGAAATCAGGCTGTAACACAACAAAATGTGGAATAAGTAAAGGGGTATGAATACTTCCTGAAGGAACTGTATATTAACTTTTCTATTCATTTAAAAAATATCCAGGTAGAAACCTTCCCAGTCAATGGTAGAAACAAACTAATTGTAGAGTATGCTACAATCAAGACCGTAGCCCCCTTCAAAAGGTTGTCCACTGTGCGTAAAATGTGATTGACATTCTGACTTGAAAGAAATATTGCAATGCAATGCCACCCCTTTCACTTGGCACCTATGCAGCACTTGCACTAGAGAAAAATATTCAGTAGCTGCCAGGGCATTTTTGCAGTTAATAAATTGCTTTCCTGCAGTCAAATTACCAAATCGCCCTCTAGTGGCCTCATGGGTCTCTTATGACCAAAAATAGCTTCTGGAAATCAGGACAGGGATTACTCACCTCGTACTGGACGAAGATTTTTTCTTTAACGAGTCAGACGCAAAGGATTTTCTTCAGACACCCGACAAGGCCCAAATCCCTGTCATTCGCATGAGAAAGAGACAAAGATATCGGAGACCTAGGACAGGGTGCCTTGTAAGGATCCTACGGCGAGTGGGTAATCTGCCTCTACCATCAGTCCTATTAGCCAGGGTAATCTGCCTCTACCATCAGTCCTATTAGCCAGGGTAATCTGCCTCTACCATCAGTCCTATTAGCCAGGGTAATCTGCCTCTACCATCAGTCCTATTAGCCAGGGTAATCTGCCTCTACCATCAGTCCTATTAGCCAGGGTAATCTGCCTCTACCATCAGTCCTATTAGCCAGGGTAATCTACCTCTACCATCAGTCCTATTAGCCAATGTACAATCATTGGATAACAAAATAGACTAAACTACGATTACGGATATCCTAACAACGGGACATTAAAAACTGTAATATCTTATGTTTCATAAGTTGTGGCTGAACGACGACATGGATAACATACAGCTGGCGGGATATACGCTGCATCGGCAAAATAGAACAGCTGCCTCCGGTAAAACAAGGGGTGGAGGTCTGTGTATATTTGTAAACAACAGCTGGTGCACAAATCTAATATTAAGAAAGTCTCAAGGTTTTGCTCGCCTGAGGTAGAGTATCTAATGAAAAGCTGTAGACCACTATTTACCATGAGAGTTTTCATCTATATTTTTCGTAGCTGTCTATTTACCACCACAAACTGATGCTGGCACTAAGACCGCACTCAATGAGATGTATAAAGCCATAAGCAAACAGGAAAACGCTCATCCAGAGGCAGCGCGCCTTCTTCTTCAATGAGGTTTAACGGCGGTTGGCATCCAATTTGTTGCATTACCGCCACCTACTAGACTGGAGTACAACTCCCTTATCTTCCTTGAAAAATAATATAAAACAAAGCAAACACTACACTCACAATTTCAAAAATATTACTAATAATTAACCCCACCCTTCTCCACTATTTAAATATACTCACTCCTACCTCATGCCCTCAACCTTAAATGATGTGACATCACCACTTAACACTCCCTGTAACTCTTCTGCTGTCAAGTCTCCCACACTCAAATATCTCTCTGCAGCTGCCACCACAACCTCAAATTTCTTCGATTTACGTTCCATCCCTGCAGTACAATTAATAACCATTGCTATAAATGCTAAAAATCCAATCTTACTGAAACATATATCACTTGCTTGCCTATCCCACTGTACTGGTACATATCTCCTACTCTCACCACTCCCCCCGCCGACCCCTCTTCCTCTACTTTCTTCACTGCCTCCGCATATGACAACTTCTTCTCTACTCTTACCCTGGAAACCTCAACCTGCTTCTCTCGCACTGGACATCTCTGATCCCCAGCCCCATGGCCACCCCTACAATTAGCACATACCACCACTTTCCCCACTGCTTCACACTCCTTTGTCTCATGCCCTTCTACACACTTCTCACACCTTGGAATCTCCCTCCTACATACTGCTGCCACATGCCCATAATTTTGGATAACTTATATATCCTAACTTCACTTTGTCAGGCAAAGACTCAACTTCAAAACAAAATAACAGACAATGACTCTTCTGTTTCCCCACTCTCGCCACCCTGTTTACGTCGCACCAAACGACGAGCATCACACACACTGGGAATCTTCTCCTTTAGTTGATCCACTTTTACATTTACTGCTACCCCAGTAATCACTCCTTTCAATGGCGCCCTTTTCTTGAGAATGAAACTATTCACAATTCTTTCCCCCATTTGTTTAACTCTGAGCGCCTTCTCCCTCTGCCCAACAGAAACACAAACAATTATCACTAGACCACTTCTGGTTACCCTCACCGATTCCACTATACCCAACACTTTTTTCACCCATCTTGAAACCACAAATTGATAAGCCAAAAGGCAAGGATCCACTTTTTCCACAAACTTCACTCCCACTGTCACAGACTCATCTTTATCCTGACCCTCTGTGCAAGCCTCTGGCTCCGAGCACTCCACCACACCTACCACCTCCGATACTTTACCCTCATTCACTTCCATTTCTCCTCCTGTCTTCAGCTCACTTTGCTTACATTTCCTACCACTCGTCTTTAACAAACCTTCTCCCTTTTTCCCGCCATTTTTTACAGACTCAAACTCGCAGTCTTCCTCCCTCTCTCTCTTAGACCTTCTCTGCCTCTCTTTTTCCCTCCATTCCTCCTCATTCATCCAAGTATATGTCTCCTTATGATAATACTGCATTTCTCCTAACCAATATCTGTTTCTTGCCTCCTCAAAGGACTCAATTTTCCCCCTCCTTTCCCTTCCGGCGTCTATTCTATACTCTGGACTTGTGTCGACATCTTGGCCTGTCTTCCATCGCCCCCTTCGCCTATCCCCTACCTTCCGTCCATGCAGACTGCTAGCGGAGTGACAGAATCACAAACAAAATAAAAAAGTGAGGAATCCCCATGCATTTAAAAAGACAAACATCATAATACAACATCATATACTAGCTAGCTAGCTAGCTAT